TTGCAGGTTTCTATATTCAGTAGGTGAGACGCCGCCACATTTGATGTGACACCACTTGAAACATAAGTCACATTCAATTGCTCGATGAGTCTTGGCCACAGTCTTCATACAAACAGAACACGAGGTATTAGTACTGTTCCCTGAGAAGATAGGCCCTGGATTAGGGTTGATATCACCACTAGTAGCAAGTCTATTCAAATTAAAAGTAATTTGAGCATTGGGATAACGGCAAATTCGAGTAGAAAAGTACTTTCTTCCACGTGGTCTTGTATGTTTTCTATCAAAAACACTGAATTATGGAAGTCGGATACAGTATTAATAGAATGGAAATTGCGATTGTTTCATCTATAAGATAAATGGAATACGAAAAAAAAAAAAAAAAACCATAGCAGTAAGTTCTCGTTTTCTGCTAAGCATTGTCATCAATGCTCACCCTGCACAAGGGCACTAGGACACCTAATGTGGTTGGATTTCTATAGGTTATTTTTCCTCTCGATCATTGGAATTAAATTAACGTTATACTTGTTTGACTTATCTTGTGTCCGTGTTCCTTTGTTCGCTATTGCGATGCAGACGTTTTCATTCCAAAGTTCGTACACTAGCGTTGGTGCTGCGTCTGTCATGGCTGTGTAGACACACTGCCACCCCAACTTTCAAAATAATTGGATTAAGCGAGCAGAAGAGAGAGCATTGGCAATGAAGCAGGCTAGTAGCCTACCCCGGGGCTCTATATGGAACTTAAGGTGAATTTGATTAACCATATTAACTCTAGGCGGTTGAATATTACTGGCGTGAGGAGCATCGCGCGGTCGCGTTGTTGTTGGTATAGTACAAACAGGGTCAAGTACCGAACGGCCGTTAAAGAAGTAAGGCTCATAAGCTATTCAAACCGTTTGACCTTTGGAATGAAAACGTCTGCATTGCAACAGCGAACGAAGGAACACGGACACAAGATAAGTCAAACAAGTATAACGTTAATTTAATTCAAATAATCGAAAGGAAAAATAACCTATAGAAATCCAACCACATTCGGTTTCCTAGTGCCGTTGCCCTGCAGTACAGAATCTTCCCAATTCTTTCCTGAGTATTTTTTATATAAAGGATTGATTACTTTTAGCATGCAGGGTCTGATAATCTGAGCTTTGGTTTCTCAGACCAAGCGGTTGGTACATATTTGTCTCATTATCATTACGCGAGACTCCTGTTCGCTGAAGAGGTTCGTACACTGGTCTTGTGTTGTCTTGTGAAGTGTCAATAGGTGACAGTTCCTGGCAATGACTTGGCTTGCTAGACGCACAAGGTAATGGTATCTCGTAAACAATGGACTTGGCAGGGTTTTGAACACTAGGTAATTGTTGCAATTTCACAGCTTCGTATTCAGGGGCCGAACTTGTTGTTGGTTGTTGGTTTGATTTGATGCCTGACGAGGTATATTTCCTAATTTGAAATGCGTTCTAAAAATTGACACAAAAGAAAATTAAAGGAAGCATTTCTTCTCGTGATTCATTTTCGAAAACCAATGGGAAACTATAAATTCTAAACAAATAAATTGATTAACATTATAAGAAATTTTTGAAAGAGCTTTATATATGTATGTTAACATTTTCTTAACAAAAGGAAGGGTTCGCTTCGTCTTTCACCGATGCGAGTCCAACGGTTCAGGTCGCTGGTTCGAACCCTGCGGTCGCCACATGTGATTTGAGTTTGTTTGATGTGTTGTTCTATCCTATGCTACTAGGGTTTTCTCCGGGTCCTCTGGTTCCCTCCCTCCGTAAAAATCAACATGTGAGTTGAGCGTTGTGTGCATGGAAGATTGAATAATGTACTGGTAGTGTTTATAAGGGAAGAGTGTCCGCGATTAGCTAGAAAGACTGACTCTTAAATGAATTTATTTATATTATCAGGAACAGCTACATACGTCGTATGTTTGATTATCCTCTTCTTGCTGATTAGTTCTCCTTCGACAACAAACGTGGTGGTAATCGTAATATATTGTTAAAAAGGGATAATGTAAAAGTATGAATGCTAAGTAAGATGCTATGATATTATAGGTTTGTAAAACAAATAGAAAAAATACGAAGAATATAATATATACTTACGTGTTCTTAACTTTTTTTCTCCCTTTGTCTATTAAAAAATAAACAGCGATTAGTTATGAGTTTAAATCAGCAGGCATTACAAGGGCGCCAGGACAGACGGATTGGGTTTTAGATGTATGTGTGACTGTTTCAGTTATTCCGATTGAATTGATATATGTTTGTTTCTAAATCGATGCTAAATGGTGTTCACTTTTCCTTTAAAATAAACTCCCTTTCCAACCAACTGTCTTTCTGGTTATTCCTGGCGCCCTTGGTCATTACATCGTGTTAGTTATAATTAGAAAATGGCTAACCTTCTTATTAAGTGATTAACATCATAATGTTAATCCTTATAATTAGAAAATGGCTAATTCTTTAGGTACCGGATATAGTTTACTTAATTTAATTCAATAATTACAAGAAATGACCCTAAGCTATGCAATAGAACTAAGAAAAAAAAGCCATTAGTAGGTAACATAAATTTAAATTGCACAGCAAAATAGGAATTTTACAACTCTTTTGCTGTTATACATTTCAGTGCGACACGCCTAACCGTTGCCACCCAACTTATTATTTACTAGTTAGCCATTCATGCCAGATAGCGAGAATTTGTGCATTTGAATTTCACCTGAAATCACTTAGCGTGAACGCAAATATTTAAAATTATTTCAACAAAAACTTAAATAAATGGCTATTAATTTGCCTAGGCAATAACAATTTTTGTCCCTTTGCAGACGAACACTGAATACTTTCGTATAAAGCCTTTTAATTGATAAAAACGTTTGGCAGGAAAGAAAACAAATAAGTTTGGTGGCCACGGTTAAGCCTGTCGTACTGTAACCCTCAGCTCGAGATTCTATCCGGATACTGAGAGCTGTGGTTGTTTTTGTTATTATTATTATTATTATTATTATTATTATTATTATTATTATTATTGTTGTTGTTGTTGTTGTTGTTGTTGTTATTGTTGTTATTATTATTGTTGTTGTTGTTGTTGTTGTTATTAGGGTCATTTTCTTCAAGTTCGCGACGACAGTTGTTATTGTTGTTGTTGTTGTTGTTGGTGTTATTATTATTATTTTTTAATCATTATTATTGTTGTTATTATTATTATTGTTGTTATTATTATTTTTCCATTGCGATTGTTACTGTCTCACTCTCACTCTCACAATATTAATATTTGACATATTTGAGCAGATTCAAAAATGTTGTTATTTTTCTATCAGCAGTAGACACATGTACTCATCGATTATGTATTCTTACGCATACCATTTGGTTTGATCTTTTTCCATATGTATAGAAACTGCAGCAAGTTAAGAACCAGCGAAACTACAAGTATCGCAGCTATGACACCAACACCAATCAAACCTTTAAATAAAAAGATATGATAAACTGATATGTTTGTGAAGAAAGGATATCTGAGATAAGACAATAAAAGCCAAAATGGCAGTTTTTTATTTATTTTCTGTTACTTTTATTTTCGTTTCATCATCTGACTACTGTCGCTTTTAGATAAGTGGGTTCACCTTTAACGATTGCAAGTAGGCGTCATAAAAACCTTTATGTAAAAACATTAACATCAGTCACGCCCTGATGTACTAAACTTGAGTATCCCTTCAGTAGGGATCATCCTGCCCTTGTATATAAGAAAGTCCGCCTCCCAGCATTCACATCTTAATAAATATGCAGTTAGTCTGCTAAGCAACTAATACGGTGGCGTATTTTCATGAGTGACGCATTACTCATTGAAGCCTTTATATATGCAATTCTGCAAAAATCGAATAATAAATTAAATCATTACATAGAATTTGTTTCTACCATCTGTTTTCTTTTTTTTTAACGAGCTTTCGCACTACTAGTGTAACAACAGGACAAACGTAATTTTTATACATGATTCATCAGGTGCTGTGCCAAACGAGACACAGGATGTCCGGATCAACCGAGAACGACCAAAACTGAGCACTAAAAACGAATAGAACGTTATCAACATTCCGCGTGCAACAATCAATTAATTTGATTAGAGCGCGCACCCCTTAGTGTTTATTCGCGTGATTGTAATTTTCCTAACGGATTATTATACAGTGGAATGGAAAGGTTGGATTAAAGGAAACTACTTGCCACTGAATATTTATTTGTCGTTTTGGCCGACGTACTAGGAATGATAATTCAAGTTAGGGATTTATACCTAACGAAAACAACTTACTATGGTAAAAATACAGTTCAAATAAAAACTTTAATGTTGATGTCTCCTCCTTTGAAATCCTTTGAAAAAACAGCTAATCAACTTCACTCGCTCTATGGATTTCACCCAGCTGATTAAAGACCCAACACGTTACTGAAGCATCAAAATCTATGATTGACTTAATCTTCCTGAACAATGAACACCGTTCATTGACAGTGGAATTATCGTTCTTATAAGAACCTATGATCGTAAAGGCTTTCTGAAAGACCTGAAAGTTGTTCCTTGGAACTTCGTGGAAGACAGTGACGACGTTGATGCATCAGTCCTAACTTGGAATAAACTATTTCTCGATGTGGCTGATGCTCATGCTCCTGTCAAGAAACGGCGAATCAATGGTATCCAATGTCCATGGATGACTTCAAAAATAATAGAAGCTTTGCAGAATCGTGACTTCCATCATCGTAAAGCTACAAGAACTGCCTCTTCCTATCATTTGGGAAAGTACCGTCATCTTCTTAACACTGTTAATAGCGATATAATGCGCAGTAAATCAAACTACATCTACTACATCGATCTGATCAAAGACAGCAAGGGGAATGGGAACAATCTTTGGAAAGCAATCAATAAAGCTACCTGCCGGAAGCAAGATCAGGCCTCTATTCCCAACTGCATATTCTCCAATGGTGTTCAATATCTGGAGTCAAAGTCCATCGTCAGCGTATTGAACAATCACTTTGCTTCCATTGGTCAACTTCTTGCAAAGAAAATCTCCTTTCTTATTCCTGTCTTCTCACCCAATATCACTTCTAACTCAGAACAAAGTTACCATCTAAGTTCAGTCGACGAAACATTTGTTCTAAATCAATAGCGCAGCGCACTGATTCTAAAAAATAGCTTAAAGATTCGGACAAACATTGCTTTCTTTTTAACCGCTACGAGGATTATACGAACGATTTTTTTATTTTTACTTAAAGGGGAGCACCACCCGTTCAATTCGATCGTTCAAAAGTAGGCAGCCACCTTAAGATCAATTATTTGACCCTGAATGCAACCAAAACTAAAGCCATGCTGTTTGGAAGCAAGAGAAAAACCAACATCTCCACCATCTCCATACAGGTCCACCTCAAAGACATCGAGAGAGTTCAAGAATTCAAGTACCTTGGTGTGGTCTTTTCCAGCAATATGACTTGGCCTGCTCATGTTGAAAAACAGATGACCAAAATCAACAAACGCCTTGGTCTCCTGAAGCGAATCAAACATCTTTTGCCTATATTCGCTAGTCTCTTGTACTTCAACAGCTTGGTCCTACCGCTTTTTGATTATGGTGATATTGTTTGGGGAGATAAAGATGATATCACGCTTATGGAATCTCTTCAAACCCTGCACAACAAAACGGCCAAGATCATCCTGGATCGTCCTCCACACTCATCAGCATCTGATGCTCGGAAAGAACTTAATTGCATATTGGATAGAACTCAGTAAGCGCAGATACTACCATCGATGTTTACATATATTCAAATGTAAAAACAGATTATAAAGCTAAATAAGCTCAATGAGCATGGCTACAACACGAGGCATGGAAGCGAGTTTCGCTTACCACGACCCAAAACTAACTGGGGAAAACAAACAATGCAGTATCAAGCCATGAAAGAATGGAACAATCTGAGTGACACACTTAAGCAGTGTTATAAGATTAGCCATTTTAAATCGAATTTCTTTTAAACCTGTAAACCTAAATAATTTGAACTTTTCATCTTTTACATTTTTACCTAATAATGATGTTGACTTTTCAGTAACGAGCTAATTTCGATATTCAATCTCTAAATTCTCTTTTTACATATTATTGTCAAAATATCTTATTTATCAGGACCTTCTCGAAAATCACATTTATAGGTGAAGAAGCATCCTGTTAAAATATGAATGTAAAGAAATAAAATAAAAATTATTATAGGAAACCAACATCGTTATGTAAAAGACGTAAGTAAGCTAATTTTTTTGCTACCCGGTCTCTGGGAGAAAGGCCGACAGCCAGTTCCATGGTGGGTCAGGAAAAAAAACCTCTGCTCGCATGGTATAGTTTACCTTTCAGTTTAATTCAAATTGTTCTCCCTGTGACATGCTATCGGGAGCTCTGCTTTGAGGCAGTGCCTAAATATATATTATATTTATTACTGTTATGTGTTAATAATGGTAATTGAGTGGAGTGCAATTTTGTCTGAAATCAAGCGCGCGATTACAAAATTGCGTAAAGGGAGTGCGATTTGTAATTGCGAAAGAAAAGGTAAAGGTAATTAAATTTACTTCGATAGCGCGGGGAGTGGTTGCCCAATTCTCCCGAGCCAATAGCTCATGTTTAATGCGCTCGAAGGTGCTCCCTCTTACTATCAGTGCTCCTTTTTACGGGTATTAAAAGCTACTTGAAGCTACACACAGAACAGTGGAGTTCCCTAAGGATCGAACTATGGACCTCTAGCTCTCAAGTCCGCGCACTAACCAACTGAGCTACGACTGCTCCAAGTTTGAGTTCAGACCAAAATTGCACGACACAAATTTCAATTACCACTTTATTATATCTATTTTGAAATCTTCGAGAAAGACGTTTTTTTCCAGCTAAGCCGACATGACTTACAATCTACAAGCAGTCGATTCAAACATGCTGTCAAGAGAACTTGTTTATACTGATCGAGCGATGATTCTCATTTTGAAAACCAACACTTTTAATTCAAAACTAAAATGAATTTATATAGGACCAAAAGGCATTACATGCATTTATTAAGGATCCTTTACTTACATTAAATAGCAAGACAATCCTGCCCTAAAAGGTTGTAATGAACTGGCTGTTGTTCATACACTTCTTGTATTTTACGATTTCTGTTCGAAATGTTATGATCACACTTGTGCCGAGAAAACAGCAAAAATCAAAAGTCGTTTAGTCCTTCCGTTGTCCTTAAGAAGCGTGGCTCAGCAAAAACTTCTTTTTAAGAAAACTTCTTTTAATGACTGTATTGTCGATGTGTTTAGTGCATTTTCCCCACTGTTTTTCGCTGTAATATCTTCAACTTACTTAAGCAGCTACTTTGCAAAGATGCTTTTGACAATTTTAAGTGCTCAGTTGGTCTTCTTATGTCCCTTTTACGGCTTGTTAGTCTTTTTTACGCCTTTTTACGGTAAAATCGTTCTTCAAAAATAAAATGTTTTGAGCCGTGGATCGCAGTTTTTTTTGCAACACTCAAATGGATTCGATAATATAATGGGCTAGAAAATGACATGTCTCTCTTGTGGTTGGTTCATATAAGATGATTCAATTTAGAGCTCAAAATCGTGCAATTTAGGGTGAAATCACTCCTGCGAGAACCAATAAGATTGCAGGATTTACTTGTGATTTCACAATGGATGTAATAAGATAGATTATCGCATGTCCGTAATTTTGCTATTACGAAATTTTGTTGAATAAATTGATTTTTGAATAAAAGCCGGATCAAGCGAAATTAAATAAACGCCGCGGCGTCTATTCGAGTAAACTCAGTAATTGACACACTTTATATTGTCAATTAAAAAAGAAACTTTAACGGCAACAAAAACTGCACAAAACAATGTTGAAACCTCTGTAAGAATCTCATCTCTGTAAGAAAGTGCTCATTATTCGAGTGTCCGCACTGTAAAAGCCTTTCAACTCTTTCTAACTCAATAGGTCTTACGTTGTGAGTTGTGCATGTTGGGTGCGCTTTTTGCAGAATTGTATATTAAATTGTGAAATCCAGTTTAAATTCTTCAAAACTTTCTTGCTTACATTTTGAGTGTCTTTCACTTGCGTCCTCATAATTGTTTTTAGTCTTACCTATATTAAACCAAGCGAATTATTGTTAGTAATGTTTATAACGTCATAAGTTTTAATAATGTTTAAAACTTATAAATAGGCATGTGCATATCTGACGCCTTAGAATCTGGGCGTTCAGGTTCGTAGGTTACCAGAGCCTTCGATTATTCGCTGAGAAGAGTCTGGTCCGAGAATGCTAGCTATATATATATATCAAATAATGATTTACGATTAAATCGATTTGAATTATAATTGTTTCCACCTACCACGTGTGTTCGTTTCACATGTTGGTTTATTCTGAGGTATGGATATTGTCTTAGACATCACATCATCTTTCATACTTTCTCCGTATTTATTCCATGCAGTCACTAGAAACGTATAGTTCTTTCCGTATTCAATGCTGTTTGTTAATGTATACTCCAGAACTGATGAATCAAGGATATCCTTTGTTTTTGTCCATTTAAAGTCCTCATCCTCTTTCATGTAGATGGTAAACTTGATGATTTCACCTCCTTTGTTATCAGGTTTTGTCCATGTCAATATGACAGATAATTGCGTAGAATAGTTGATGCTAATCGTTAGCTGAGGAACACCTGGTTTGCCTAGAAAACAACATTTAACGTATATAGATCTTTGGTTTGTTTGACCTGACTTACATAGCATTTTACATAATCCATATTATTTTGGTATTTTTGGAATCAAATTTGGTCCCCTTATCAGACCTAATGAGCGCGGCTCCTCAAATATTTCATTAATGTTACAATTATATTTTTAATAAAAAACTACATTTTCTGAAAGCCAAATAAACTTAGTTTTCGAAAATAATAAGCATCTCATTAGGTATTTGTATAAATGTATAAATGTATACTACAACGATCAGAATTTCTGCATATGTATATATATATATATATATATACAGCGATATGCAGAAATTCTGATCCAACCAAGTATATAGTGCATAGCTATATCGGGTACATTTTGGGTAATAGACCCGCGGTATTTAAAGCTAAGTATCAAAGCGTTGGCTGGCGTACCGAGTGTTGTTTATAAACAGCGCTAAAGTCAAGAAGCGGGAACTATGTGCTCACTTTTTTATACCTCTACACTACTAGAAATAAATGTCATATTGTAATTAGTTTTATTGATGTAAAGTGAAACATTGGAAGTTTTGCAATTGGTTGANTATATAACTATATAGGGTGCATTATGGGTTATGGACTCGCGGGATTCAAAACGGGATTAAGAGCGACTGTCTGTAAAAATCAAACATATGGCGGAAAGGCTCAAATTTTCGAATTCGCTCTACTTTTGGATTTTAGTAGTGTATGATGAAGTAAGAAACGCTGTGTGGTTAATTTTGAAAAATACTTTTTTGTTTTCGAGAAATAGGGAAAAATCGGTTTGAGCTCCAGGGACGATTTTCGCTGCCAAAAGATGGCTGAAAATTGCTTACTTTCCCTTGGTCCGTGTATCAAAACTATTGATCCAAATAGCCTTCTAATACTTTCTGCCAAAAGTACAACTCTTATTGCTAAATTAAGAGTAGTTTCATAAAAATCGAACAACTCTGTATTATTTTAAACAATTAAAAGCAAAGGGCACTGAGTTACAATGCTTGTCAGTGCATCTCGAAAATTGCGAGTTTCCCTATGTGCCATCCTTCCAAATCTTATGAAATTATAGTCAACAACTATTGGGAAACTGCTCTTTTGAAAAATGTATTTTTTATTTTGGGGAAATAATTGTGCGCTTTTTGCGAGAGCTTTTATTTTGACTAATTAAATATGCATAAAAATCATTGTTTGGCGATTGCGTGACTAAAGACTTCTCGAAATAAATTCCCTTGAAATATCATTGTTTTTCAAATCTAGWCTATACAAATAAAAGAAAACATTAATATACTAAGCTTCGACACGAAAAGGTCTTTTCCGTTGTTCCACTCTTCTGAGTTATCAAGAAATTAGAATTGGCAAACGTGGCGTTGGCTTGTTTTATGCAACCGATTTCCGAAAATACTATCTATCAGTAACTTGTCAGATTTCAATGACAAATATACAAAACAGTATAAGGCCAGGGATCCACCTTTGGCTATTTCTTCCAAGAATTACTAGTCAGTAGCGCGTTCATAAATTGGTCTGTAATAGTTAACAGATCGAGCGGCAATTGTTTGCGGAGTGACTGTCATAAACTTATACCGAGACAGCATTCCAGCTTGCAGATCGTGTTGTGGGACCATAGTGCACCGACCACTGTTCTTTAACGGAGGAGAAAGAAAGAAAACAGTAATTTGTCTTGCAACAAGCTGGCTTCTTAAAGAGAAATCTAGTGCAGGGACTAAACACAGGAAACAAAATTATCTAATGAAATATATCAAAACGGAGCAGTATGGCATAGTAGTTCGCACAGGTGCCCCTAGCCGGCTCCACCATAATCTATTGAGAGAACCACTTTTAAAATTGTTCACAAAGGGCTTTTAATGTTAAAATGGCATAATAATGTATATCTCGACTCTTTTTTTTGCCAAGGATAATACATAAAATTCCAAGACCACTAAGGGTATGGACAAAACCGGAAGAAACTACGGTACGCTCTTTTCCCGCGCCCACTGTAACTTTTCCGACAATATGCAAATTAGAGACACTAAACAACTTGCCAGTGAAGCTAGAATAACCTACTGGACTCTGTAGGAATCGAATTTAGTATACTATTCTGTATATTTCTTATTGAAATCTGACTAGTTGTTTGTAAAGAAACACGAACTGTGCATGTCG